GTAGTCAAGTATCTCTTTATATCTCCCAGTTCTCCTTCCTAGTTTGGCCATAAAGAGATTTTGCGCACCTGTATCATCCATAGCTCAATTAATCAAACTACTCCATAGAAAGCAGGGAGATTGCAATTTAGCCATTTCATGATTTCATTGATGAGTCAGAAAACTATGTGTTTGGGGGTGTTGAGAAATCACCCAGGCACCTTTCAAAGACGTGGGCCGCTAGACTCTTGGAATCATGGCCGGGCTAGGAGCCAGGTTTTCCACTGGGCACGGCCTGGTGAAGTTGGGCAGATCAAGGATTTAGCTAGACTGCTGGAGTTCACGCCCGGGACGGCTGGAGATCACGGCCGGATCTATTGCAATGCAGGCAGAAATCTGAAGGGTTGCAGCTGGGCGTGACTTGGTCTGTTGGGGGGCTTGGAGAGCTTGCAAAGAAATTGTCGGCCAAACTGTGCAAAGTTTATGCGGCTGGATTTTTGGTGCCCAAGGAGTTCGCGGGCGGGATATTGGAGATCTCAGCCGGGTATCGCGTGTTTTGTTGCAACTGACTCTGTTGGGCTGGGGTCCAATAGTTAAGGCGGTCGAGATTTGGAAAGGTTGGAGCCTTGGAGAATTGCGGCTGGAGTTATTTGAAATATCACAGATTGGGTTGAGGGTCTCAAAGCTTGGAACTGATAAATTATAAATGAATACCAACGTGCGGCCGAAACTTAGTGGCTTGAGGAGTTATGTTTTAAACCCTCCCTATCCTATTTCATATTAATATAATATATATAAGTATATATATAGATGAATAGTGCTGGAATAGTTGACTGTTTTACAAATTGGGCTGAGAAGTTCGTTTGTCTTATTATATATATATATAATAATAGATGAATGGACAAAATGCGGTTGGGTAAATGTGTTTGAAATCTTTGGTTGATCTCCAAAGTTGGGCTGAAGGTTTTGCAAGAGATTATCTGTCTTATTTATATATAATAATAATATATATATATATATATATTAATATATGAGATAATATACACACCCAAGAGATGGAGGCCCAAGTTTAAGCCACTTATTCATAGCCAGATTTTCGGAGGATTACGTGCACGTGACAGAGGGCCTCACAAGGAAAGAAATCAATGGAGTTTTTATAGTAACTCCGAGTGTTCCAAAACAAGGAAGAATCAAGCATGTTAGAATATCAACACAATCCCACGGATTTAGGAGGGCTTCGAAAGGAAAGATTTTAAAGAAGAGTTGACATTTGGCCATTCAATGGCCAGCCTATGGGCTGACGAGTGCCCTATATAAACCTTGCTCCATGAAGACATCACACACAACATCAGACAAACAAACCTATCTTTCATCTCGCACTTTTCTTTTCCTAGACTTAGGATTTTATTTTTCAAGCACCTAGTGTAGTGAGTTCTTCATATTTCTAGTGTAAGTTTATATTTTCCCTGTCATTTAAATTCTTGTTCGGTTTATATTTTTTATCATTTCAATTCAAGTTTATTTCGATACCTTTACATTTAATTGTTATCGCACTTCGATTAAATTTAAATTCAAGTTTATTTCCTTTTCGTTCTTATCGTTCTTATCCGTTCTTATCGCTTTTATTTTATTCTTACTTTATCTGTCACTTTGATTTATTTTATTGCATTTCAATTCTTGTCTTTACGTTTATACGCATATTTAGTTTAATTGCATTATTTTTACATAAACCATAAAAATCACAAAAACATCCGTACGAAACCTAACCATTCTCGAGCCCGAGAAAGTGAAAGAATCTAGGCCAAGAAGAGGTTCCTTACTTGGTCGATCAATCGTTTGGTCAGAAGTTAGAAGCACAACACATCCATCTATTCTCATTCCATTCAAACCCAATTTCGGGGCTTGGTGGTGGCACGTCCCGCATCCAAAAGAAGAAGGACCAAAAGTTCCTTCCGTCGGCCGCCTCGACCGAAAAGAGGGGAACACTATGATCATCACAACTATGTTCAAAGAAAAGAGAGACCCGACTTTTATAAAGATCACATGCAAATCCAAACTCCCATTTCCAAGGTATTCAGAAATCAAAGTTTCATATTCTAAACAACAAATGTTAATTCAACCGAATAGAAAATGTAAGAATCCAAGATTGAGATCAATTACAATATCAAGTAATCAACAACCTGTTAAAAAGCCAAGGAAACTTTAAAACAGAAGATGAGATAATTAAATTTGATTTAAGGTAAATCTTACTTAAAATAACAAAACTTTTAAAGGAGACTTCCAATTGATTGAAAAGTAAAAAAAATCAAGAGCCCTTATTGAAATCAGACGAGAAAAAACTTCCTAACATGGATGCATGATTTTAGCATGACTAAATACCTCAAATGCGTTAAGTTACAAAAAATAGAATTCGAGGATCGCAGAGCTACTTCAATCATCCAACTAAATAACACTTCCAAACCTATACCAAGGTCTAAGGACTGCCAACCCAACTTCATACGAACAATCTTCCCCTTTGACATTTCTTAGATAAATCACCCATTACAATTCAAAAGAAAAATTACGTAGGATTTAACAAATGAAATCCTAATCTGAAGTCGAAGCTCTTAAGCGTTCACAATATGAAACAAAAAAACCAATGAAGCATGTGGAAGAAGAAATGTAATTCAAAGCATAATTACAATACCACTCCCCCTTAATTCAAGAATGCCCAATCACAATATGTCCCCCTTTTTGTCAAGAAATCCAAAAGACAAGAAGGAAAACATAATTAAAATAAGAGAGAAAATTTGAAATGCATATAGAACCAACTAATGGCGTCAGAAGTTCAGGTCAATATGGCATTATATCACAAGGAATTCGACAAGCATGAGAGAATGCCTTAGATATATCAAATTAAAGAAAAAAAATCTTTAAATATATTTAGGTGATGAGAGAATATTGTGTAATATAATAGTTGGGTAACGGGAGAATGACCAATGAAAAATGAAAATAGCAAAATTTCTCATAAAAATAGGATTGAGGGATGGATGTGCGCTAGCTCATATTTTAGGGTATTTGAAACCACAATGGTAAAATACATGGTATGGGACATGCATGCTTGATATCCTAAAGTATGAATTAGTGAAGTCAGAAAGAGTGAGTTCATGAAATTATCTCATATGCATAATTTATTTATGTTATTTTATTTTCTGATGCATCACATTTTGATTAGCTATCATACTCATTCCTTTTCTCATCTATTTTTGACTTTTTCGTTTCATGATTTTCCCCATTTCAAATAAGTAAACATATGCGAAATCATTCTCCTTGATGTGGTTGTTGGAATGTTTGTGGGCTTGACATCCAATAAATGTTCATATTCTGATGATCTTCTATTGAAAGTTCGTCATGCTAAGAGGCCAATCTTGACCTCCCTTGTTTGTCGATTAGAGGTCTAGATTAGGAGATAAGGAGATGGTTTTGGTCTATTGAAAGCATCTCATTGTTATGGCCTATACAAAGAACTATGCGTGCATAAGAGTTTTTCTTTAATAGTATTATATTGTGATGAGATGCTCTTTGATGGGCTTGAAGTTATGCTTTGTTTTGTCTGGATTTAGGGGAGATAGTGTTTGGTGCTTCTGCTTGCTGTTTTTGACGCTCATGAGTGCATAAAAGTTCTTCTTTGACAATTTTACATTGTGGTGGATGTTCTTGTTGAGTTTGTAGTGGTGCTCTATATTATTTCATTTGGTCTTTCTTCTTTGACTCTCTTGTAGTCTAATGCATGTGTGACACTCTTTTTCCTCCCCAAGGTTTCCCATGTGGTTTTACTTGAAAAGTTTTAATGAGGCTGCGTTTTACGTGCAGGTCCTATTGTATTGTTCTTGGAATATTAATGGATTTTCTCTTCTCCAAAAAAAGAAAAGAAAAAAGAGTAAACATAGTATTATTATATTACAACTTCTAGAGCGTACAAGATAATATGGATAATACAACAATACAAGAAGTTGACAGAGGACTTGATTCTGTGTCCTTAGAGGACATAAATAGACCCGATCAAAAAAGAAAAAAAGGATACAAATAGTTAACATGTGTTATTGTTGTTCTAGAACTCTAGCCATGTTTAGGGACTAGGAGTAGATTGTGGATTGTATTGGATTGCATTAGATTGGAAAGGATAAATATCATTTATTAGTTTTCGGATCTTAGGTTTAAGATTAGGGGATTGGAGTAATGAGATTATGTATCCCACCTTTTTGGTAGATTATCCTACAAAAATGCACATAATATGATTACGGTGAGATTATCCTTTATCTTATCAACATTCATTTTTCACCAACCCACCAAACGAGGCATCTAGAATTTTCTTCCTTTTGTTCTTTAACTAGGATACCATGTAACCCCATGTGGCCTATATTTGGCCTTTTATGGTGAAATTTTTTTGGCATTTTGTGATCTATATCTGAATTAACCTTATATGGTTATTATACTTCTATATTTGTATTACCCATTTGTGAGCATTTGTATTTGCCCTTTTAACCGATGGTCTTTGTACCTAATTTATGAATACAATTAATGTTTTTTCTCAACAACAAAAAAAAGAAAAAAAAAAGAAAAAAGAAAAAAAAAGGATACCACATAACATAACGTGTTATTGTTGATTTCATTTGTATGTCTCAAATTGTCAATTACTCGTACTTTTTTTTCTTTTTTTGGGTTGGAAATCAATTACTCGTACTTAGACCAAATGGTCGACGCCTTTGAAAATTACAATCTGACGTATCAAACCTTCCCACTGAAAATAAAACGACCAATTTGGTCCCATTATTTATTATTTATTATTTATTGTTGAATATTTCAGATAAAGCACCCCCAACCAGATCGCATCTCCAACTCTGCAGCCAACACGTGCTCTTTTATTATTTTATTATTATTTTGCTAAGTCAGATTCTCATTTGGTTAGGATTTCTTTTCGGGCCCTCTATTTTATTTATCTTTCTTTATTTTATTATTTGATTCAGAAAAACAAAACCAACATGGCGTTGAAACTGGCAAAGCCTTACGGGCGCCACCCTTTTCCACTCGACGGTACTTGAGTTAGCTTAGAACACCATCTCATTCTGATATTGGTCTTTTTGGTTTTCTGTCTTCCTTGTTTTTCACCTTTAAAAGAAACTCTGTTCGAAGCGTTTCAGAACAGTTGAGGGCCAAGTTTTGTTTCCTAACAAAGAGAAAAAAGAGCATAGAAGCAATGGCGCCCAAAAAGAGGCTGCAAGGTGTTGATGACAAATTGCAGAAGCTTCTGGATGCTAACATGGATGAAGCTCCTGCCAGAAGGCGGGCTCGTGAGGCCTTCAAGGAAATTCAGCTGGGGATTGACCATATTTTGTTCAAGGTATTGTTTTCATATATTCCATTTGAATTTGAATTTTTTGTTTTTGTTTTTTGGAAAATGAACTTTCAGGTTGTTTATGGTTCCAGCGAGTAGTAATTTGAGAGATTGCAATTGGGTTTTGTAGTGGGTTGATGATGATTGGCACTGAAACTTTTTAATGGGTTAATGGGAATCGGTGGTTAGTTGAGGAATGAACTATTTTTCACATTGAATTTTCATTGACATAACTTTTTTTTTGTTTAAAAGATTTGCTTCTGAACTGATTTGATTCATTTTTACAGTCCACACAGCCACAAACATATACTCAAATTGGCTATGCATACTATTTTTCTTTGGTTTTTGGTGTTATATAGTATTCATTCTTGCTGTCTTTTAATTACACTCTTGGAATATTTTCTCAGTAATATTTATTGTTTTATGTTTGGTTGCGTTGCAGACACCCACAGATGGATTGAAAATAGAGGAGGTAAAAACTCTTTGTTACTGCAATCAACTTACTTTTTTATTTTTATTGGTACAAACGGCTTTTGGGTGCGAGAAATGCAGTGGAGTGATATGCCAGTCAAGGAATTATATGCCTATGCTGTGTGTTCATCTCTGTGTGTGTGTGTGTGTGTGTATCATTTTCTTTGTATTTTAATTTTTAATATTTTGTGCAAACCTGTACGCCATTCTTATCTGCAAAATCTTGTTTCTCATTTATCTTATATTGGTTCAAGATAGTATTCTAGCATCCAACCCAAAACCAGTTCATAATGGGTAGATACCAAGATCTTGTATGCTATGGTTCAAAGCTTGACAGTCCTAATGTGGGATGTATACTCTAGACATGCCCCCTCATGTGTGGTGTAGTCAAACATGTGAAAAAACTTATATTAGGTGACGTGGGAGCACGTGTGGTAATTGGGGACTGACATGTGGATGAACTCTAACACTGATAAAATTAGACTATGCAGTATTTATACTCTAACCAGGTCCAGTATGAGAAGGTTTGTTGATCACTCATTCATTGATCTATACCCATGGGCAGCTACTAACACTTCTCATCTGAATTCACTTGTGGCCATTTTAACTATACTTGTAAGCGGTATTGTTTCCTCAAAATTAGCTGTCATGTATCATGCTAGGTTAAGGTGTTCATAAGCATTGGGGCTCACTCGTTAGATTTCCAAAGTTTCTGCTCACTGCTTTTAATATGAACATGGTCTTGGAAAATTCTATTGTGCAGTCATATGAGGTAAACTCCAGGGGATTGAAGATCTTCTGCAAGAGTTGGCTTCCAGAGGCATCTCGCCCCAAAGCAATAGTGTGTTACTGTCATGGTTACGGAGATACTTGCACTTTTTTCTTTGAAGGCATGTAACCTGTCATAAGAGAATAGTGTTGACCAAATTGCGTTGTTAGCCATGCACTGTAGTGGAACCTAATAATTTCATAATTTCTGCAGGAATTGCGAGGAAGTTGGCTTCATACGGATATGGAGTTTTCGCAATGGATTACCCTGGATTTGGTCTTTCAGATGGCCTTCATTGCCATATTCCCAGCTTTGACATTCTTGTAGATGATGTCATTGAGCATTACTCCAATGTCAAAGGTATGCTAGCATAGTTATTAACCTTCCTGTTAGAACTTTCGAATGTGAGAATTGTTGAGCTGAAGGTGAGGATTAGGATATTTAGACAGGAGGCGGATTGCATCTTTGTGCAGTCACTGAGTCAGCTGGCCAACCATCTTGGTGCATCAAACATGCACTGGGTTGGAAGATGAGAAGCATGAACTGGAAAAATCTAAGTGCCGGATGAAGTCTTAGTATTATTTTTACCCTGTGGCCATCTTGTCAACCTTACCACCAATATTTGGGACAGTAATGTGATAATCATATAATAGTTAAACAAGGCAGAGTTGGAAACAATTTGTAAACTTTCTAGAAGTAGAGCCTATGGCCTCTTTTTAATCCATATTTTTTAGTCTCTGCGTGCTTTCCTTTAGGAATGTTATAGAAGATTGAGGCAAGGAGGTCCTCTTCATTGCCTCTCACTGGTCATAAGAAATCTCAGTTTCCCGATGCTTGAGGTAATGTGGAATTCTTTTGATTTTGGAAGTTTATTTAGCACTTATCAGCGTTTGGAATTTTATGAGGGACCTAGTGTTTAGGTTTCTTCTTGCCTTCCTCCTACTTGCAAGTTTCTCCTGCGGTGGATTGTTAATTAGACCCAGCTTTGGGCTCAAAGTAGTATAAAGGTTATCCTCCTACAATCACTGTCCCATAAAAGAAGATCCTCTCTTCCATAAATGGTTTCGCTCAATTGGAATATAAAAGCCTATAATTGTAGCATCCTGTCCCGTAAGAAGATCCAAAACGTACTTTGAAGTTCCTATCATATATTGGTCGATCTGTGCTTTATTGTGAATTGGAAAGGAAGTTGGATTGATGAGGATCCAAAGAGTAATGCAATTGTCACTTGGTTACTTGTAGGAGAATAGATGTCTTGACATAACAGTGACAGGAAATAGAACTTTAGAAGGAGAGTATCCATAATGGAAAGTGCTCCCTTTTGCAGTGATGTTGGGATTGAGAGAACTGGCTTGTAGCAACCAAAAGACTGTCAACTACTTTAGGTGATGAACTGTTGATGACAGATACCATCTGCAGTTTTCTCTGTCAGAGGGTGAGTGGAATATTGTGTTTATGTGACTATATTCTTTCCAAAGAGTTAAGACAAAGATTCCACCATAATCTTGTTCTTGACGGAAAGTTCCCCAAAGTGAGCCATCCAAATTTTCCAAGTCTCTTATGAATCCTTTTAGTGACCAGATGAAGCAACTTTGCTGGGGTGTTAACATTTCATTTCATTTCTAATTGATATGCGAAATCATTTTTCCCTCTGATATATATAACCCCAAAAATAAAAGAAGCAAAGTGATGTGGAAATAAATTTTCAAGGGAAGTTTTTCTCTTGACGGACTGTACCTCTTTTGAGCTACTTATTCTTTCTAGTTTGCATCTGGGGTCAGTAATTACACCTCTTGGCTGGGGACGAAGTTTTTTCTTCATCTTTTTCATCCAAACTTATAATCAAGTGAGAGAGACTAAAAGATCTGTACACAATCTGTTGTGTTTAATGTGTGTCTATTCTTTTAACAATAACATAACCAAAATGCCAATCTCGGTTTAATTCTTGATATTTACATAATTCGATTTGTACTGCAGAGAACCCTGAGTTCCATACTCTTCCAAGCTTTCTCTTTGGACAGTCCCTGGGTGGAGCTATAGCATTGAAGGTTCATCTAAAACAACCTAGTGCATGGAATGGCGCAATACTTGTTGCACCAATGTGCAAAGTAAATTCTGCAACTTGACTGTGTTAGCAACAATGTTTTTCTTTGGTTTTTACCTTCTTTTAACAGAAAATTGTATTTTCTCTTTTTTGTTTTTGTAGATTGCAGATGACATGGTTCCACCTTGGGCATTAACACAAATCCTGATTGGTGTGGCTAAGTTCCTTCCAACGAAAAAATTAGTTCCACAAAAGAACCTGGCGGAGGCAGCATTTAAAGACTTGAAGAAAAGAGAAATGGTTTCTCTCTTTTCTTTTCTAAATAATTTAAAGTATTTAAAAGCAATGATGTTCTGGGAAAAGTCATAAACCTTGTTTTCTTTCCTAGACATCATGACAATATGAAAACTTTCAAGCCATTGTGGAAGATCTTATGTTTATAAGATGTGTGGTGTCCTTTATGTTGTGATTTCATCTGCCATTTCTTTTAGTCATCTTTTTTAAATTGTGGCTTTAAAATTGTCCTTTTCCTGAATGCAGACAGCGTATAATGTTATTGCTTACAAGGATAGACCACGCCTGCAGACTGCTGTGGAAATGCTCCGAACAACTGAAGAGATAGAACGTCAACTGGAAGAGGTATGCCAATTCCATGACTTCTCTTTTATTACAGTCATATTCTGAATCAACTGGACTAACCTCTAAAATTTCTTTGATTGCGTTAAATTCTGTCCAGTCTATTCAGCATGCACCTTTTCCCCTTAATATGTGTTGTCTTGCTGCGTATTTTCTGATACTTTTTCTTTGTTCTTTGAGGCCGTGAACAGTTGAGGCATTTATAGAACTAGATGGTAATTCTTATCGGCTTAATTCACTGATGTTTGGGTTTATCTGAATTTGTGACTTCAACCCAGTACAGTTGGATTGAGTTATAATCCAAAGGATAAAAATGATTTTTATAAGCATCAGATATGACCTACATCTCTAGTGCTTCAGGACTAGTGATATGAAGTGGCAGAAGGCATACATCGTTACCCCACTGATGACGTGTTTTCTTATAAACCTTTTTTTTCATATTCTGTTTTTGGAAATCTATATGGTTCAGCATTTGTTTTGTGAGGTTCAGGTTGTGATTTATTTCTTGTAATCTGATGAAGATTTTGCTGTGAGTTTATATTCAGAAATCGTGCTCGCCCTGAAAAGTCAGTTGATTTCAGTATAGTTTAGCACCAGCAGTATCTAGAATTGTAACTTTATTAGGTTACTTATAATGATTATCGTTACAGGTCTCTCTTCCACTATTAATCCTACATGGAGAGGCTGATATTGTAACTGATCCATCTGTAAGTAAGGCCCTGCATGAGAAAGCAAGCAGTTCTGACAAGAAGCTCATCCTTTACATGGATGCGTATCATTCCCTTTTGGAGGGTGAGCCAGATGAAATGATAGTTCGAGTTTTTGGTGACATCATTTCATGGCTCAATGAGCGCAGTGAAAAATTTACGGGCAGCTAACTACTCTGCACATCTGTGGGCACCTGCAATCATGTTCTTCATGTTTGCTTCAGAAAAGGGTAGGAGAACAAAGGGGAAAGGAGCATTGGATTGGATGCGTCTATTGTGATGTACAGATTTTTTTGGTGAATAACATTGGATTAGTGTATGATCTATGGCACACAATTCAAATAAACTTTAGGTTTCAAAGTCTTTCTCTTGTTTAACATGAGCTGGGAGGCTGAAGCTTTTGGATGTTGACCCGTTGTAATTTGAGATTTAACAAAGGAACATTTTCTTTTCTTCTTGCTAGATTTCATCTTTCTTCATTCCCATAATGGAAGAATAAAATTATAACTTTTTCTATAATTTGGTTTAATAAATTTTTTGTCAGCAAAGGTCATTTACATGCTGGACTTCATAGGAGAAAGCCTATGCTAGCCAGCCTTAGAACTGAAATTTCATTTCATCAGAACCTCTACTACAATTTGTGTTGGAGCCTACAAGAAAGAATGACTTGTCCCTTTCTGCTGGAGGAGTGAATTTTAGCCATCCAATTATAATAAGATATAAATTGTCATATTCTTTGTTTGTTGGGTCCACTCATAACAGAACGAATGCTCAGAAAGGAACAAATAAATGCAGTGCAAGTGGGTTGTGAGGAGGTGAACGTTGTTCTTTCTAACTTTGACAAATACCTGGAGGTAGTGCTCTTTTACCTTACCTTCCTTTAATTGCTTCTCTCTCTCTCTTTCCCAGCTTCGTGAAATTGTTGTATTATTGAAGTTCTTTACATTTTCTTTTCCTATTCTTAATTTCAGTGTCGTAAAAAAATAAAATATGAAGCAGCCAGTATTATTTTCTTACTGGGTTTTCTGGTCTTACAACAAAGATGGCCTTCTCTTCTTGCTTTTTCCATTCTCAGTTCTCCCTCAAGGTATGGCTTTACCTAAGCTTTTCAATCTTCATGTTCTCCTCCCTACAATTTTTTTGGTCCTCAGCCTTGTATTCTTTTAAATTTGTAGCTTAGTTGATTCATCTAGGCGTCCTTAATTCGTTTATTTGCTGATCTTTAGAAGGAAGGGGAGGGGTATATGGAGTAGTTTGAAATTAGTTGTATTTTGTCCAACATAGAAAATAAGAGTTGACATTTCATAGTTCTATTCTGCTAAAAGAGTTTCTGTGGGTGCCAAATGGGTGTATTCTATTGTAGTTCCATGGATTTACAATTGGGTAAGCTGGCATTGTCTTTCTTGGCCACTAAAATTATGTAATTGTTCTTCTTCCTTTGCCTTTCAGTTGAAAACTTCATTGAATTTGACGTATAATTTGTTATCAAATTCGTCTTCATGATAAATGTGGCAATTCGAGCGTGGCAGCAATATTGTATAAAATCTGGAAAGAGGCATTTCACCAGTTTGAACGTTGAAGTACAAGATAACATGCAACTTCTTTCGTAAATAATCTCATGTCATGTGTAGGAACTCTTTATAATTTTCTGAGTTGGGTAGCTTCTCATACAACTACATATTCGTTTCTTGTAGGTTGACTATGCTAAGAAGACTATAAGACATTCGAGTAACTATAAAAGCATCACATTTTCACTCGGAAGTTCTCATACTCAAGTCTTCGGTCAACAGCTTGAGACAATGGGAGTTCAATTACACAGGGAATGGAGTTTTGTAGGAGGTTCAACAGTTACTGTAAGACCAAAACTCGAGAGATCCATTCCACACCGAAAAGGCTCTGGAATATATGTCTCATGTAATCCTTTCGGCCACTTTGAATTCTTTTCAGTCATTTATTATTGATATCATTTTCAATGTTACGTGGCTGATTTAAGGCTTACTAGCTTTAAGTAGGTTTGTAAGTTGTTTCTTATGAAATACCCACATGTAGGAATCAATTTACAAATATTTTCATATGAGCAGAGAATAGTCTGGCTCTATACAGGACGCCCAGTCTTTAATAAAATTCAGATTGTCGATATGCCATGATAATTTGTCGATATCATTGTCGCCAACAACAAAATGTGTCGGCATTTTGCCTATGCATTTTTGCCAAAATCAATAAAAATATCAATGCGCATATCGATAGTTCAGTCTTTAATTAAAGACATAACGTCCTGCACAGAGAATCTCTGGAACAGAGAGAGCTGTAACTAGCTTTGACAACTTTGATCAGTTTTGTAAGAATAAACTATATCTGTGAGTGCATATATATGGTTTTCAAATTGACACAATTACAACTACATTGCAAAACACTTGTCTATTTCACAGTTTGTACTTGTAACATTTGGATAGATGGTCCTTCGCATGAAATAAAGGCTCAAAAGAAACTAGAATTCCTGTATTGCATGAGGCATAGTATGATGTGATAGCATGGTTTACGGCTTCATGAATTTCGTTGAGAGAATGAATTTTAAGGATCCAGCATAATTTGTATTTATTTTTATATTACGGGGTTTTGCTTATATCCAATTCCTACCTGAATGTTGTGGAGTTAGCCTTCGAGAGTTGCAGACAGTAAGGTTGTTTTAGCTTAACAAATTACCTTCTCATTCTAATGAAAGAGAAAATCTTACCCAGATCCATAAGCATCCGATTTAGTAATTGTTTTGCAGAATAACATACCCAGTTTTTCACCGTATGCTACTGGCTACCAAGCTTCTATAAATGTTTGAAGACCCTTCTCTAATTTATGCTTCTCTATAAGAAGATCACAATAGCCATATCATATGATGATTCTTATGTTTGGTAATTTTAAGAGTTATAATACATCTTTTTTGTTTCTCTAACACGAATGGTTTTTAGTCATTATTTGTTTCATGATCCATTTATCATCTGTTGACCTCTCAGGCTAGTGAGTGATAAAGATTATGGGAGGGCTGGAATATGATCGATAAAGCTAAGTTTACTGTCTTTTTTTTCGTCAGGGTTGGCAAGTTCTCAAATTGCTAGCAGAGTTTTTACTTTGGGAACAACTGCAGTTCTCCCATTTTATGCCCTCATGGTTCTGGCACCTAAAGCTGAACTGGTATGTTCTCCTGTATTTATCCAGTCCTACGACTCTCATACAATGTTGCTATCCATCCTCATTCCAATTTATGCAGGATTATACCCAAAAAAAATCCTTTTTTGGCTCACCCACTAAAGGCACAGAAATTGAGGGGAAGTAGGTATAATTCTGTAAGATTTGCTCAACCTAAATTGAAGTACTAATTCGTTTAGATCACGTAAAATGCAGACAAAAATGTCTTCGGAAAGTAGCATACCATATATTCTGCTCGGAGTTCTCTATGCTTATCTACTATACCTCTCTTGGACTCCTCAGACGCTACGGTTGATTTTTGCAAGTAAATACTGGCTACCTGAGGTGTGTATTAGAATATATAGGTTCAGCAATCTTTTCTCTTAAGTTATGAAAATTTATACAAAATTTTGTTTTCCACCTATGTACTATGTACAGCTGACTGGTATAGCAAAGATGTTCTCCAATGAGATGACATTAGCTTCTGCCTGGATTCATTTGTTGGCTGTCGATCTCTTTGCTGCAAGGTAACTCTCTCTCTCACAGATGCACACACACACACACACACACAGAGTTGTAACCCTCATTAGTTGTGTTCATTCATGCAGGCAGGTTTTCTGCGATGGTCTTCAAAACCAAATTGAA